AATTAACTTGAATTAACTCATTTAATTCTTGATTTTAGATAAAGATTCCCCCCAATTCTTTCTACTTCTTGACTCTCCAGCTTATCAAAAGTGAAGTAAAAAACAGTCCATCAAAGAAGAGTTTTGTTGTAAGCTACTTTTTAATCACAGCATTAGTTGACATTCAGTCAGCATGACGATTACATTTTTCTTCTCAAAATGTCAACAGACAAAATAAGCCTAGCAGGAACCTTCAGAAGAAAATGAGGAAATATCTGAAGACACTGGACTTGGAATGACAGAAAACAATGAGGTAAAACTAATAAATTGATTTGAGCAGTGACAGGGTTTGGTAAAACTAAAGAAAAGTTTCCCCTCGGGATTACAGACAAAAGAGCACCTAGAAATATACTGCCATCCTTCTGTTTTACTGAGATGGATTGCATGTCATGGTTATGAAATGCTGAGACTGAAGCTCATTCTCTAACCCAACAATTAATTTGCAGGAGCTGCAGCCAAAAAGCCCTTCTGTGCAAGTCTGTGCTCCAAGCTGAGCCTAAAGCTCGAGCTCTCTGCCCCCGTACTTTGTCTTTGGCCTTTTTGTTCAGAAGGTGCCAATTACTGAGAGGTCTGGCAGTGGTTTTGCTGAGGATTGCATCTATGCACTGACAATTGAACTTGGCTCTCCAAAGCAAATCCACACAAGCTGCCTGAGCCCGAGCTTGGAGCCAGGGCTGCCCTCCATCCCATGCCCTCCCGCTGCCCTGCAGGGCTGCTGCAGCTTGTGACCACGCTTGGACCCAGCTTGCTGCTAAGCCAACAATTCTGCCTTGTTTCATGATGCTGTCAGGCTGCTATACAGCGTGTTGCAGGGCACAGAACAAATTCAGAGCTCCTCTTCCTGCCTGGGACTCTACCACAAGCCCCCACAACCTGTTCTGCACTGCAACCCCTCCACAGGACCTTACTTCCTTCAAAATAGATGGTTTGCTGTACTCAGTAGAAAGCCAAAGATGAACAAAGGAAGGGAATCCTAACATTTTATGGTTAAGCTGGTATTTGGGGCTTGCCAATTTGCTACCAAAATTGTGATAATTTTGTCATGTTTAATTAATACTTAAGTGACATTTCCCCAATGCAGCCCTGCCAGTTACTCAGAAACTGGAAGATACATAGTGCCTCCTTACTGCACATTATGAAACCTGCATGCTGCTTTATTTCTGCTTCAATCATCCTCAAAGATATCTCACACTCCTGTCTCTGAAGGCTCCTCTGCTGGGAAACCAGCATACTCAGAAGTGGTGTTACACAGACACACTACTCCTCATCCTCAGTCTCTCTCCAGGGCAGCTGAAAGGGAAATGGTGTTTTCTGCCCTTTGATTCCCTCATCTCCACACCATGCTGCTGTCTTTAGGAGGGATATACAGTATCTTTAAGACTGTCAACATGTCCCCTTTCTCTTCCATTCCAGCTCACTAATCTAAATCATGTTTCAGCTTAACAGTATAAGGTCTGCTGTTTCATTTACTTCATTTATGTAGCTTCAATTGCAATTTTTAAAAATGGCTTAGCGTTAGTCCCACACTGAGATCATGTTTAGACTTGAACCCTTGTTCCAAGGAACAATCCAAAGGCCGTAACAAACTTGCCTGCGCAGCACTCTCCTATACACACCCATACACATATTCCAAGGCTTTCCAAGGGTTACTGCCACTGTCCCCAGGAAACAACCAGCTGCACTCAAGCCTCTGCCAACCACACCACAACCACAAGCCCTCAGTGAGGCGGAGCCCATGCTGCCCCTCGCCATGTCCTACAGTGTCCTGCACTTCACCAGCAGCGGGGCTGGCATGCCCAAAGTGCAGGATGCTCCATTTCCCTCGCCACCTTGCAGCCCAGCACCAAACCATGCCCGACGCCTCTGGCTGCCCGGGCCTGAAAGCATCCTTTCTCCCTTCTTTCTAAGCACACGGCGCCATCCCATAAAAGAAGGCGCTCCTGCCTTCAAAAGGTTTCTGTTCGTGGGCTGTGGCCTGCCCTGAATCAGCTGCATTCATCAGCCAAGCCTCTGTCTGGGGCTGTTTTGCTCTGGCTGCAGATTCGGTGAAACACCAGGCAAGCGCCAGATATAAATCTCCTGCTCAAAGGAAATATTTAGCAGCAAAATGAGTGGAAAACAAGAAGACTTCTCTGTTACTTACCCAATCCTTTCACTCAGGGCGGCTCTATCTAAACAAGCGAGATCTGAGCCCTCCTGCCTGGAATGGCTGTGCCAGGGGGGATGGGGAGCAGGACTGCCCCATGGCTGGGAACCCGCTGCTGCACCCGAACAGCTTCAGGCACCAGGCACCGGCTGAGAGATGCAGAGCTTTGTCCATCAAGTCCCGTGCTTGGTGAGCGGGAGAGCTGCTTAGGGCAGGGAGGGGAAAAAACCTGCAATGTTTTCTCTTAATTCTGAAAAACGAAAGCTCAAGACACATTAACACAACTTTATGTACTTATTAAAAGCTGAGGAACATTAATCCGCAGCTTATCAGTGTTCTGCTCTTATTTCCTTCTGTTTGAGCTGCTCTGAAATACAAGATGTATGATGCAGATCAACATTTTTCCTCTTTTTATTATAACTTCAATTATGTAATTCAGTCTGGAAAGGCCAAGTCTCCACATGAATTCACTGAGATGACAGTGCTCCAGCTCTCAGACACAGAAACAGGATGGGTTTCTATTGCAAAATAATTACCACAGAGATAGATAACCATTTCATAAGCAACTGCACAAGAGAGACACAGCTAAGCCATTGCACTAGAACTCAAGGAAGTACTTTTGGAAAGGAAGAAGTGCAGGACAGGGAATATGCCAGCATCTACCTGATAGAGACACTATCCGTGATGCTCTGACCGGGGCTTTGGCCACAGAGGATGTCTGCTCACTCCCATCCTGTAGCCCACCACACTGGCCAGCTCCATTTGCCACTAACAGGGAGCAGGAGGTTTCAGCAGGTTGCTGAAGCTCCTGCCAACATTCCAGAAGCATGCCTGGTATCTGCAAGGGACAGAGGGAGAGCTCCCTCCTCGCTGAGCACCCTGCCTGCCCAGCAGCGGGACCAGCATGAGGGGCTGGCAGGGAGCCACTCCCTGCAGAAATGTCATCACATTTTGTTAATCCAGCAGACAAATGTAATGAAATACATGACCTGCAGGAAGCAGAAAGAGATGCAATGCACGTGTCCTTATGTCACTGCTTCAATTCTTGCCCAAATCCCACCACTCCTGTGCTCATTCAGTATCTTGCAAAGTAAAGGACTAGTAAGTATTACACACACAATTGAAAATTTATCTTTTACAGTGCCATTAGTTTAGCTCTGTATGACCAATAATTACTTTTTTAAAATTTGTTTATCTTTTATCTAAAGTACAAGCCTCAGTGTTATCCTTTGTTTTCAGATTTTTACTTTTTGGTGCAATCATTACCTTGAAACCTACATTGGTAAGGCTCAAAATTTTTCAGAAGTACTGCTGTTTGAATCTTAGTCATGTACTAAAAGAAATACAAACATTACACAAAAATATTTTCCTGCTTCATCTCTACAGTTCCTGAAAAACTGCATCTTGTGGACTTGGAGACAAATGTACTGGAGAAATCAAAACTACATGAATAGAGGAGACCTCAAATGGCCACTGTGATCTGTAACTGTCTATATACACATTATATACATATGACTGTTTGAGAACCTGTATTCATGAATGTGTACAGTTTACATCCTGCACACATTAATTTGTCTGAGCGGTTTTTTAAAAGAATTTGTTTTAGCCTACTGTCAAAAAGTATTACCCTGTGATGACACAGCAAACATGGTTATTGGTTTTAGTCTTACCCTCCTAATGCCACTGCTCATTAACCGTAAACTGATTTAGCAAATCTGTCAGTTAACACAGTAATTTCTACTTTTTTTTCTTATTGTATTTGCATATGTAACAAATTGGTACAAATCTTTCCAATAAAATGTACAGTTCATTGATACAATGCCTTTCATGATGGCCATAACTGGTTACTAGTCAACTCAGCAGTTTTGTAGAGACATTTTTAGCTAAACTTGGAAAAATAGGAAACGTATTGTAGTTTAAAATAAATGTACATAATATACAATATATATATATATTTATACACATGTGTATGTCTACATACACATATACTGAAAAAACATTTAAAGTAATGTTTAGTTTTGATCAGTTCTCTGACTGCTGGGACTACCTGGCAAATAAATCTAGAAACATAATTTGTCCACAATTAAATAATAATTTCCACAACTTAGAAAAATATACTTTTACTAAATAAGGTTTAAATTAATTGATTTATGGATATAGGATGGAGGATAATGGTTTCCAGACTCTGACATGATTAAATCTGAAAGGACCCAAGCTACTACAGACCAGTAACAAGTGCTGCCCCGCAGCCAAACACAGAAGAGCACAGAAACACAAACTGCTGCCACAGCAGCACTGGTGACACCCAAAACCTCTCTGCTTCCCTCACCTCTTACACAGCCTTCACTTCCACCCAGCCTGAGTCTCCCACCCGACTTCACGCTGTTTTTTAAGGTGCACTCCAGCCACAAGCACAGCTCCACGGGGCTGATGTGGATTGCTCCTCGCTCCCACACAACGCTGCCTTGAGATTGCCGACAGATCACCCAAATCCCTAATTTTCAGCTTGGAGGACCATCAGTACTTGAGCTTCACCACATGGATTTTGATCTACTGCATAGGTAAATACTTATAGCAAAACATACATTTCTTTGTGTGTGTGTGCATGTGTATAGAAGTATGCATACACATGCACACACACGTATGTGTACATCTCTATATAAAAATTTTCATGGAACTATGTGTAGTAATGTTATCAGCATGGTATCCTGCATACGTTATCTGGTTTTATTCATTTTTAATACAGAGGCACCAGAAATAATTATAGAGAACAAATCAACCTTTAAAAATTAAAGTTAGGTCAGTGGACAAGAACTTTGGTAAAGCTTGTCAATATTTATTTTTCTTTTATTCAAATACAGTCAAAGTCTAGCAGTTGCCATCACCCTCTTCACAAGAGGAAAGTGCATGTTTTTTTCTAAAGAAAATTATATGTAAGGTGGGACTTAATGATTCAAGAAAATTCTGAATTAAATGTTTATATTCTTCAAAAGATTACTATCTTTCTGATGGAATGAAAGCTAAATAGAGTTCTTGTCCTGTGTGTATTTTATTTATCATATGCATATACATATATATAAATATATATATATGTATGTCTCTGTTCATGTACCTGTGTGTGTATATACACATCCACACACTTTCAACATGAGAGAGGAACATGTTTTTCTCCACTTTTTATGGGGAGACTCCCAAGTTCCTCCCTGTCTTGTACCCTGTGCAGTATAAGCTCTAGTGATGAGGCCAAACAAAAAGATATAGTTCACCATAGTATATTAGTTTATGTAGCAAAGTCATTTTCAAGCAAGTAAAATAAAGCTCTGTATTCCAAACTTCTTTTCCATTTCTCATAAAGAAAAGGAAGGAAAAGGAGAGAGGGGAGGGAGTGGGGTTATGGCAGTAGCATTGAGCCAGTGGCACGTGGCGGTGTGCGTGTGCGAGCGTGCGAGCGCAGGTCCGCACACGCACAGGCTCACAGGAGCAGGGCTTTGGTTGACAAATGCAGATTGTCCAGAGAAGGTGGATGCATAAGGAAGGAAGACTCTACAGTGATGCAATTGTATCTTTTACGCTTGCATGGAGTGAGAAAAAAAAAATGCAATTGGAAAAAAAAAAAGAAAGAAGCAAAGACCTCTTTTTAGGTCCCTCATCAGTGAGAGCATACTCAGTATGCTAGAGAATTTATCTGAAACCTTTTAAATCAAGGCCTCTTTATTACAAAAATAAAAACGAACAAACAAAAAAGTATGAGAGACGACAAGATGCTGAAGCGTCACTCCAATCGTCCCTGCAGAGAACAATTGCATCCCATTTATTATTCATTCTCTTCTCTCATTTCTACGATGTCTGTCATTTCCTCTGTGTGAGGCATGTCGGTCATTGCAGAGTCTTCACCTTCTGCAGCTGTCTCATTCTCATTCCTCTTCTTTTTCTAGATTGAAACAAGCATCCAGAAACCTATCAGTAAATTGTGCATGAACACACTCCCATCAACTCTGGACACTGGGAGAAGTGAGAATATGGTTTGTTAGAGTATTTTATTAAAAACTATAATATTTGTGTCATATTTGTGGCTTGCCACTAATGACTTGGCTTAACTCAGAAGATTTCCATGGCCTTTCTGGGGCTCAGTTTTCTCCTTTCTAACATAAATGCAATCAAGCATTTCTTATGCTAAGCGACATCCAAAACAAGCTTCAGCAAGACTGGAGGGAAGAGAGCATCTGGAATCTTTTACATCACAGACTTTTTATTTTAAAAAAGGAAGGAAAACAAAAAGTGAGAGAAGAAAAGCTTCTCTAGGGAGGGAGGTGAGGTGGCAACCTAATTTCTCAAATGTCAGACTTCAGGAATTTTACAAGATGTGAGCATTCTGGCTTTTCTTAGTGCTGCTGATCCACTGTGATCTCTTGCCTCACCAAAGCAAAGTAATATTAGAGTATTTTCGTCCAGCAGGAGCAGGAGGTCATTCAAGAGTCCTATGATTCATCCAGGATGTCCTGGATTAGTAAAGCTAAGAAGAGTTCAGACCCCTAAAAAACAAGCTGAAGCATCTGTTCCTTATTACCCATTTCTCAGCAGGCTGACTAGTTTTACTGAAAACAATTGTACAGCTGACAAAATATCCCCCACAGGTATTACTGATTCAGCTGAGATGAATCAGAGGTGTATCTGAGGTGTATCAGAGTTCCAAAATTTCAGAGAAATATCCCCCACAGGTATTACTGATTCAGCTGAGATGGGTGTATCAGAGTTCCAAAATTTCAGAGGTGTCTACATAAGTTGATCTGCAGCTCTCCAACTGCAGGTCAGAACAACCTAGTGTAATAGAGCTACCGGTTGGCTCTGCCACTGTCACACTGAATAAAGAATAAATTAGGTTGGCACGGTTATTACTCCTACTACCTGCACTCACCACTGAGAAAAATTAAGCACAATGTCCCTGGCCAGAAAGACTCTCTGAGCTAATATGGTAACTAACTAGTAATGAGGATGTTGTGAAACCAAAGGTCAAGACAAGACATTTCAGTGTCTGAAAGTTTTACTCTTTGGTTCCCAAGGCAAACAAGACAAATTAATCATGACAGATATTATGATTCCTCTACTGCCTTATGAACCTTGTACACTTTGATATCTTGCCATGGCCTGTACTGTCAGCACATATCAAAACTGATTTTAGGTTGTTCCAATATAAGGCTTTTAGATATTCCATCTTCTGTAGTTTGGCTGTTTTTTAAATTTTTTTTCAAAAATAGAAGTCGTGGGTATTTCCACTTGGCACTTCATAAGAAGTCTAATTTAAAAAAAAAAGTCACTGCATAGATTATATTTTCTTTCCATCCACAGAGTCCTTCTGAACTACAGAATGATGTACACACCTTGCTGGTTCTGCTTGGAGCTGGACCTAGTGACCTACATGGTGCCTTGAACACATAACTGAAAGGGAGCAACATGCAGGTACTGCAATGTACCCAGTCACCCAGCCAATATTTATTCTGTGTTTGACCTAATTTAGCGGAATCTTCAAAATCCATGTTTCACCACTACTCCACACATGCAGGATTGTAGTGTTTAAAGTATGCAAAAAATCACCTGTTAAATTATTTATAAGCTCTTACTGTCAACTGCTGCAGAAGTAGTGTTGTTTTAAGCCACTCCTCTGGATGGCAAAAAACCATAAGCACCTGTACTTGTTGATTTTCAGCAGAGCTGGTTTTGTAAAGAAATAAAATGTATATACAATAATATATATACAGAGATATACGTATTACATAGTGTATACCTACAGATGTAAATGTATACACTAGGTAACATTACATTACACCTTCCATGGGAAGGAACTTGGAACTCATTGGAACTTTAAGTTTTCTTCCAACCCAAACCATTCTATCATGCTGTGATTTGGTGATTCTATGATTGTATACACATATACATACACATATTGTAAGCTTGGATGAGTAGTTACTGTGCCTACATAAAGGTGCTAAGCTGTACTGCAGCAGCAAATATACAGTGCAAAAGTGCTGGTGGTAAGGACAGGATATCCATGATACACATGCTTTGAGGAGCAGAGGCTCTCTGACTGCAGACCAGCATGTCCCATGGCCTAGGTGCCCATTAACAGCTGGAGGGGATGTTTTGGTTTTATTTCAACCTGAAGACTTGCCAAGCTGCACACTCCTGAGACTTGACAAGGAAGCAAACCAAAGTGAGGATGCTGGGGAGTTATGTTGCTGAAGTGTAACGTAATCTGAACTGAAATTCACTACACATTCAACACCTGCTTTCATCAGATCCCACAGAGACTAATTCTTACCTGCTTCCTATAGACGTAACAGGCTGCTATTGCAACCATGGTGGATTCTCCTACAAAACCGGCGAGAAGGGATCCTACTCCAAGAGTGGCTCCGTGAACTCTGTTGGAGGCATAGAAAGAAAGCAGTCATTGTTGTGTGAGAATGCATAATTCAAAATTACATTTTCACTGGCATATATAACCAATCTGATGATAGAAATATTTTCTTCAAAGACACAATACACTGCCTAAGAGAATAACTGGTATTTTAAAGGACTTGTTTGTTTTTAATGGCTACACTGTTTAGTAAAAGAAGCACACAGAATCAAATTATGGACTAAGAATTTAAAAGTCTTGTACAGTGTGCTGTAGAATAGATTATTAAACTTATAAACAAGATATTGTTCTATTAGCTTTCTTAACAGTGAGTTTAGTAACATGGAAATAAATTCCCCATAAGATACACGTTTTTGCCTCTTTGACATTGGTGTATTTTTTCCAAAGGAACATCACTATTGTGCCTGTCTAGAGCAGTCACACTTGTAAATTTGTAAATGTTTCTCTTCCAGATAGTGACACTATTTAGACTTTGTACCATGGTTAGTATTTGGAGAAAATGTTCCAAGCTATGCAAATTCAGCTATCAAGTGACAGGGAAGAGGAATGAAGAGGAAAGCAAATCCAGGGGTTCTGTGAGGAATAATGATTTACCCTAAGTAAGGCAGCACGATGAGACTGGTGATGAGGACGATAATCCGCAGCACTGAGCTGGGTGCCAACACAAATGTCTTCTTCAGAGTCATCAGCCAACCAGTCAAGTGTGCTCTGACAGTCACTGTTCATAAACAGGGGAGAAAAAGAGGCAAGAATAGTAAAAAAAATAAAGTCAGTCATTTCATATACAGTTTTTCCGTGCAGAGAGCACTGTTCAGGAATAACCACTACAAAACTTACTGCTGGTAAAGGAAGTAGATCTTATGTTCAAATTGCTCTAATATACTGATTTGGGAAAATGAAGAAACAAAAAAAATGAGCTGTTCTCTAAGAGCTGTTATCTTAAAAGCAATTTATTAGTCAATCCACTCTATTTTCTTCATTAAAAAAACCCCAAACTATCCCCTTCCTTAAAGAGAAGTTCTACCAAGGAAAAATTTCTATCTGGCTCCTGTGTGGCACATGGTGTAACAGGCACAAAAAGGGTATCTACATGTACTTATTATTGTATTTGTAATTTACCTTTATTATGAAACTGTCTTGTCATATAAACAGAAAACACTAAAAGATGTTGCATTTAATTACAGAGTTAGAAATCTGAAACATTTTGATAATGGTTCTCCAGCTTGTCTTGCTCTTTGATAGAAGTATTAGCTTTTATTATACAATGCTTATGCTCTGAAGGAGCCACTGAGGTTACAGAACTTTTATTTTCCTTTTATTTTTTTACCTGGAAGTGGAAAAAAGGAGAAGATGCGCAAAGGAACGACACACAGCTCTGCGAAAGCGAAGTCTACTCCAATTATGTCAACTAAAATCTTCTCTGACACGTTTGGCGTCCAAAACATCACAAAACAGAGCTAGAAAGAACAAAATTTAAAAAATCTTTATATTTCTGAAGGGAAGCACAAGAAAAGGTAGGCCCTCTTGGACTAAAATATTTGTTTACTTATGAGTAGATAACTCTACTAATGGTAAATACACAAACTATATATTTATATTCAGCTTGCATTCAAATACACGTGTACATAAGACAGATACCTTAACTTCAGAAGCAATTCCTACTCTTAATTTTCCTCACATACCAAGTGTGATGCATAGAGAAAGAATTTGTATGGTTTCTGCAAGTGGTTGTATTTGAATGGTCTATTGTTATTCAAGCAGTAAACCCCCAGATTTTTACAGCACTTGATCTGGTTAAAACACTTGTACTCCTAAACAGATTATCAAATTTTTCAGTAACTAAAGATTTGAAGTCCTCCAAGACCCAGAGATCTGACCTGAATCTAAGACTAGGGGTTTACATTTACTGCTGAAAAGAGTACTGTTGGTATGCAGTAAGTCTGATGGCAAGGCAAAGGTGTTCAGCACAGTCCTGCAGACATGGTGCTCTCAGGCTACAAATCCACTAAGTCTTGTTATCGTACTGTTGGTATGCAGTAAGTCTGATGGCAAGGCAAAGGTGTTCAGCACAGTCCTGCAGACATGGCTACAAATCCACTAAGTCTTGTTATTTTCATTAAAAGAGTGTGCTGTTTAGTCCATACAGGAAAGGAAGATTTCCATAAAAAACCCATGGCACTTGGTACAGTGGTAGTACATGCTGTTTAATTTTTTTGGTCAGTTCTGAGGTTTCCATCTGGGCTGAAGGGGCTGTTGGCAGCTGCAATTCTGGCTTCAATTCAAGGCACTCAGTGAAAAACAGTCCTGACAGTCCTTACAGGACTTTCCCTATAAGAAAGTGTACCTTCAGGTATAACTACTTTGTTATTTAATTTGATTTTGTGATTTAAAAAATTATTTCTTCTTATTATTTTTTAACAATTATTCTTGTTATTCTTATATTGCTATTTATTGTAAAGTGAATATTAAGGAAGTAAACTGACTGAATGGTGCAAAACTGGGGACCTTAAACACTCTGGCACTCCTCTTGTCAGGTTACAAATCTGTGTACCCTGTAAATTCTGCACATTGGCTGTACAATGTAGTCTGTAAGACTCCATAACCACTCTGTTATAATTTAGCCTACCACCTAGTATCATAGCAACTAGCTCTTTTCTTTTAATCCAGTTGTCACACCCCTACATGTGCAGATGACTTTTCAAACTAGTCTCTGAAATCCTACCACCTCTGAGACAGCTGGGATTTCATCCTCATTCTTTGGTAGGGTGTCAGAAATTGTCCTGTTTAGCCTCCAAGCACCCAGACTGCAGAAGCTTCCCAAGGCCTGTCACTGAGAGGCCTGTGGAAGGACCCTCGGTGTGGTGAACAAAACATTTCACATTCACATAAAGGTCCACCTTCAGTTTTCTTCCCAAGGCCTGTCACTGAGAGGCCTGTGGAAGGACCCCCCGTGTGGTGAACAAAGCATTTCACATTCCTGCATAAAGGTCCATCTTCAGTTTTCTTTTCCACTTCTTAGGGTAGGTACTACTGGTTTTGTTACAATTACATGTTTTACTTGACTAATTTGATGCTGTCTTGGGGTGTATCTCCATCTCCTCTACAGAGAACAGTAAGTGGAGTAAGGTAAGAGCAGAAGACAAAAGAACTGAGCACTTCTTGTGCCAATCTACTTGTACAGGGTATGACGGCAGCAGAGGGGACAATCTAGAGCAGAGGGGGTTGTGTGGTTGAGAATTCAGTTATTAAAAAGTAACTGCGCAACAACCGAGTGAATTCTTTCATCGCTGGAGACACCCTTAGGCAGACTGCAGTCACTTGTACTCTCACTGCAAATGACCCGTAAATCAGTCATACAGGGAATATTTTGTCAAACCTTTCTTCAAAGCCAAATAAATAAAGTAAGATACAAAGATGCCCACTCTTCACTTATAATTTGCTGTTTTCATGAAAGCAAGGACCTTTACACTGCTTGCACTGCACAGTGCCATTTAGTGTCCTAATGAGCAGTGTAGCTGCTGCCAGATTCCATACGTGTATGCTAACAGCAGAACCTGCCAGCAAAAGGCAAACAGAGCAGTCTTTCCCTCTTCAACAGCCACTTGAGAGTGCTGAATATGGTTAGACAGGCAAGCAAATGAGTGACCAAAGGTACTGTACTCAATTCTGCTCTTAAAAAGGTTTCCTTCTGGCCCTAATAAGAAAAGAGTAAATGTCCACCCTGCTCCCACCAGAGTAAGGTCAGTTTGCCAGTCAGGGAGGATGACTCACACCCAGGTGGTGTGTGGTCATTCCTCCTCAGCTGTTGCAAACTGCAGTCTTCCCCACCCCTGATCAGCAGAGTTGTGCTGGTAAATGACTTCAAAGAGCGCTTATACAGCAGCTGGTGGGCAAAGACTACTAAGCTCAAGAATAAGCAGTTTGAGGAGGTGAAACACAGCAGCAGAAGTACTTTCTATTTTCGTCTCAGTATCCTTCCATCTTTTTGGTTGCAGTACTGATAACTAGTTACATTTTGCTAAGGGAGCCCTCCCTATCATCTTATGAGATGATATTCTCAATGCCCAGAGGGAACAAAGCATCAGGAAAATAAACTAATGCTTTGCATCATTCAAGCCCTCTGCAGTTTAAATCCTTGAGTGCTTGCAACTTTACTGTTTCAAAGACAAAATGTGGTGGAAAAAACCCAGGCTCTACTTCAGGCAAAGAATAACACTAAACATGCAAAGCAGGAAGGTATTTCAGCTGCCGACTTTGTTACAGATGGCATATTCTGAAAATAGGATGAAGTCAGCTTTTTGTGATTCTGATTGGTCTTTAGGATGTTTGCCATTACCTTGGTAAAAGGTAATGCTTGACAAAAGACAGGAGAAGATGGTAACAGTAGTCCAAGAAAACATGGCACAGACAATTAAAGATTGGCTCTACTGGAATAAGCAGTGCTAACTTCCTGTGACTCAGATCAGGAAAGATTTTAGGAAGTATATTTACCAATTGGATGTTTCCTATCTTTCTCCTAATTTAACACTGTTTTGTCCCCCACCTTGCATTTCTATGCACGTCTGCAAGGTTAAATATAGAATAAATGGCTTGGTTAGGGTTACAGCTATGCCTTCATTTAACCTAATCAAGAGATGAAGACTAAACAGTGAAAGCTTCTGCAGAGGCAAGCAATGTGCATGCAGAGTGGCACTGCAGCTTCAGGCTGCAATTGCAGTTGGCTGTTCAGTGTTGTACCTGGCAACTCTGCTGAGGCCAAAGCATTTCAATATTTTGGGAGTAAGGATTTTTCTTGCAGAATTCTAGCAACAGAGCTTATTTGATTTTCTGATGCCTTATGGTATGAGTGCAGCATGGTATTAAAGGATAGTTTTGTTAAAGCCTTTGATCATTCAACCAGTGATGAGTGCTTTAAAAATCCAGGAAGAAATGAAGATGTAAACAGCAGAGTGGAATGCTACAGAGAATAAGCAGACCTGCATAAAGGCAGTAGTATGTATTATCAATTATATTATCAACAACAGTTAGCTAAGTATTTCTGAAGATATTTTAGTAATTTCAATTGATCTGAAGGGTTTTGATATTTTGCCCTCAATTGTTCTATACTAGTAAAATTTGAAAAACTTTACTAAATATATCAACAGCTCACAGCACCATAAGGAAACTAGTGCAACTGTACTTGCTCACATCAAAGCTCCAGCTAGATTAGTACTATCTCTCTGCTAAAGGTCACTGGGAGACGCCGAGGGGAAGGGCATAAAAAGCAGGGCAAATGTAGTGTAAGAGATGCCTTTCCCAGTCTGCATGGGAGTTATGGCTTCAGGAGTTCAGTAATCCTGGTGCACCTTCATCCCATGCAGGTTATGCACTGTTATGTAATATTAGTGTTTTTTTTCAATACAGTTGTGCATTAAAGTAGAAAATGCTCTCACTTGTGGCTTAGACACCCTCCTCAAAGAGGCGTGCCTATTTTTATGTGGAAGTGTGGAACCTGGCTATCTTCAGCTAACAAATTCCATGTCTAAGCATATTCAGAAGTCAAAATTAAAAACTTCTGCTCTCACCAAGCCTAAGAGAATGCACCAAATCTTTTTTTTTTCAATAGGGAAAGTACAGAACTGCTAGTGTTCAGTTCAATTTCTCTTTATTCTCTTAAGTACAATTATAGCATTTGACTTTCACAAATGATTGTGATGAAAGATTGTTCATGAGATTTTGTTTCAAAGGCTGCATGTGTGAGTCCGAATGCTTCTAGTTCTTGAAAAATAACAGTCTTTTCATAGGCCTTGCATCTCCTGGAAGCTATTTCCATTTATTCTGATTGCTGACAGGGATTACTAAACCTCAGAGACCCACTACATAATGCATTATAATACATTATGCTAACAAAGGCTATTGTCATGTGTATAGTAATCTGCAGGGTGCCAGACTGATTTTGTTTTCAGCACTCCTAGAAAACTGCCTATTTTTCAAGAATTCATTGATAAATATAAAGCACAAAATAGTATCCCAATGAGCTATGAACAACCGTACAACTTCACTAGATTTTGTGCAGTCTTCAGTAAGAAGAAACAATGGCAGATGACAGAGACATGGTATGGCTCTATGTTCCTCAGAAAGAAATGAAGGAATCCAAAATGGATGTTTTTAAAAATAGGTTAGACATATGCCAACCTGGAATGAGTCTGGAATAACAGATTTTATTGTGGAAGATAGTTAACCTGGTAAAGGTTATTCTGTGATGAAATGCAGTTCCTGTTTTTCTTATACAAAAAACCCCTCAGCAGATGTTTCATATAATTTGTTGAATCTGTTATATTTGCAGAAGTATGGTTATCCAAGTGAAATGTTTTACCCTAAAAATATTGTTCTATGTATGTATTGAGGCTTGTAGTTTAATTTAACCCATGCCTTGTTCATTTCCGATTACCATTTATGCTACAAGGTGCCCAGTGAG